GAGAGAGAGAGAGAGAGAGAGAGAGAGAGAGAGAGAGAGAGAGAGAGAGAGAGAGAGAGAGAGAAGGCCTTGAGCTTAGAGATACACCTGTAGACCCCCTCCCACCCTCCAAACATCACCAGCACAGAAAGACAAACAAAGAAAAATGCATAAACACAAATTCGTTCTTTTTCATGTCCCTCGTGAGACAACAATCCAGCCCTCTGCCGCAGGTGTAGCCCGCAGCGGGTGGGTCTACTTGTTTTTTTTAAGTCACTAAGCTGGAAACTGGGTCCAGCGTCCCTGACATTCCATCATATAGCCATATTTTATCTTTTCTTTGATGTTGTTCAAAGAAAACACCCCTTCGTAGAGGTATTTCACTTGTTCATATTCTTCGCTAAAGTTGGTTCTGCTTTAGCTACTTGCTACCTTTTTTTAAGGGAAACCGGACTTGATCTTCCCAAAAATACACTCAATGCCTCCTTTCATTATGGTTAAGGGATCCTGAGTGTAATGGGATGCTTCCGGAGTGGAAGATCCCATACCCGTGGAGAAGAAAGGAGGAGGAAGAAGGTGGAGATGGAGATGGAGCTGAAAGGGTTCGAGACAACACGACCAAGGACAACACCGCACATACTCCAAACCTGCACAATGAAGAATGAGAATGAAGATAGAGTGCACTTGGGGTATACCCCCATCGTTGACTGGACTGGACTGCAAACGGTATCAACCACAGTACCGTAGAAAATGACTATACGGCATGTGAGATCAGCCCTCGGGGGCCTGGTCTCACAGGCCGTACCAGTAAAATAGCCACATAGGCCCGACTATAGTTCGGGCCAAATGGAGTCCGGCTGCATGATCCTCAGAGTAGTGGATCACAAGAGCCATAAAACACACTATGTGCAAAATAGGGGAACTCGGCAAACAAGGCTAAGAAATCTAGGATGCGGAGCAAGCTCCATGCCGAGTCCATGCAATGCAGCCTAAGCTACATAATGTCATGAAGGAAAGCAAATGTCAAGGATACAATTCTAATTATCAGCAAGAAAATGAAATGAAGCATAATATGAAGCATAATACAATCCTCAAAAAGTCCTAGAGGCAACTGCCTCAATGAGGAAAAGAAAAGATAGTAATATATAAAAAAATGAGGTTGTGTCGCCGAACCACTGGGAGTGGGATGGTCTCAGAGGGGGTGAATGCAGCCTAAGAACTGAAACTCGTAGGGTCAGTTACACACAAAGGTAGAATAGGTCATTCAGGTTAGGGTGGGAGGGGGGAACGGAACAAAACCAATGGTCCTAATAGATAAACCATCAAGGCGGGTAGTGCTCAACACAAGGGTGACACCATGCATGATCTACCATGAGAGGGGAACCTGAAATAGGGTCAGATGCCTAACTTAAGGCATGGCCGACACTAGAGTGACGGTTGCGGTGGGTGAGGTAATGAAGCACGCAACTTGTTGACTGGGACGAAGCCAGAACCGTGGAGAAGGGAAACTAGGATAACGCTATGGTCCCAGTGCCTACACGCTACCAAGGGAGAGCCCAATTCAGGGGAACCATCATGTGACACACAAAGGAAGATGCAGGGTAGGGTTGTGTTGTGAAGTAGTCACGTCCAAAGCAAGTCCAAATGATGTAGTTAGAGTCGTCGAAGTGGTCGAAGACGTCGATGAACTAGGAGTCAAGATCAATATGGAAGCAAAATCGCGAAATACCGACATCCTGAAGTAGAGTTGATGATGGATTACATGAAGATGTGAGTCAGTGGGAATGTAGAGGGATGATGAGAGAGTCAGTTGTCGTAACACGCGGGGCAACGATGAGAGCATTGTGGATGCGAGGAAGCGCTCATCTACTGCTGAAGAACCACCTCAGAGGGATTAGGCACATTCTCAACAATATCCTGAGCCGAAGGAAAAGGAATAGGGTTAGTGGGTTGAGCAGGAGCAAACATCTCAAAACGATGAGCACGATGATATGCACACACGAAAGTCCTGGTGTGCTGCAAGTGCTCAAGGGACTCCTACATAGCCTCCTTATCAGGATAGCCCTTCCAACGTACAAGATACTCAATGTGTGAAGGGGTATCGTCGGTAACTCAATGAGATACGATGTTGGAAATGACGAACTCCTCGTGACCATCCACCATGATAGGTGGAGGACGCTCATAAGGGTATTCGCTGAGGCGCTTGGTCGGTCTGCAATGAGGACTCAACAAGGAGATGTGATAAACATCGTGTATGCGTACCTATCGAAGATAATCTGACAACTTCACATGAAAGCTGATCGACCTATCAGCAGTACCACAACTGACAACTTGAAGGATGCGGCATGGGCCGAAAAAGCGACATTTGAACTTGCAAAGCATATTTGCTGTTGATAGTGGTGGGCATCATTGAGCACCTTATCACTGACTTTGTATGGATGATCCATTCGCGATCAGCTGACTCGTGCGATTATTCGGGTCTAGGAGGCGGCTATAATCTTGTGCACGTAGTCAAAGAGATCCGGCATATGCTCGACCCACTTGTTAAGCACTGGGCAATGATGAGTGTCTTCGCACGATTTTGAGGGTTGAAAAAGTCTGCGGGCTCTTTAGGGTGATAGATGAGGGCTCAATAGTATGGTGACATCCCTATAGCTGGCGAAACGGCTTAGTTGTATGCAATCTTCGCGCGGGCTAAGTGTAAGTCCCATTGTCGTAAAAAATGATTCTTTGAGGTTAGTCCTGGTCTTTTACAACTCGCTTGAAGATGTTGGCAATCTCATGAGTGTCAGTGCTATCACGACATGGGATAAAATATGCGCCCTTCTTGAAACAATCGACAACGACCAAGATAGAATCATGACCGCGCTTAGTGGGTGGGTGGAAGAGAGCGAGAAAGTCCATAGAGATGGACTGCCAATGAACCTTCAATATGGGTAGAGGTTGGAGTAACCCATTTGGAGGGTGGATCGCACTGTTCACCTCCTAACAAGTACGACACTCCCGTACGTAACTCTGGATGAACTCCTTCTAATCAGGCCAGACGTATACCGCAAGTTTTTTGGAAATCCATATGACCTGCAACTCGTTGATCGTGAAACTCAGCTACGGCCTGAACACGGAGCTCTTCAATGGAGGGAACACATACACGTGGTTCGCGTTGACCAAGTAGTCCATACCAATACAAGAGATCATTCACACCTAGGGAGTATGAAGAAACGGTCTTACCTCGCTCTAATTTCGCGTAGATGTTGCAAAAACCGGGGCAGGGAGGGTAATGGGTGCGAAATGTAGCGGTCACCGAATCGTCCATGGTGGTGATCGAGATAGCAGAGAGATGGACAGCGTTATGATGGTAATCAGGGTGTTGGGACAGGGTGTCCATGTCTTTGTTTGACCCTCCTCGGGCATGGTGAACGGAGAACGTGAACTCAGATAGCTTGCGCCAGCAGCGTGCCTCTTGAGGGGAAAGCTTGACTTTCGTGAGGAAAGATGGGACGACAAAATTGTCAGTGTATAGTGAAGTGCGTCCTGTGCCGATAATGATACCGCTGTCAAGTGGCATAAACTACTGTAAGAACCTCATGGTGGGCAATAACTAAAAAGAATCATAAGCAATTAGACACTCCCTGACATGGGCCTTGACAGTCCCGTCCTCCATGATGATCGTAGAATAGGTGATGGCCAGATTGTAAATGGAGGGACGTGGCTTCAATCAAGAAGCAATGTCAGCAAGAGAGGGGAAAAAATGAGGGATATGGGGACGAGAGGAGCTAGGCGTGGTAGGAAAAACCTGGGAAAGTATAACCCCTACTGCAAGATTTGACGCATCGGTGGTGACGATGAAGGGGCGATCAAAATCTGGAAGATGAAGATCAGACGCACAAGTCACCGCTTTCTTGAAGGCCCGGAAAGCGTCCTCGTGGAGGGGTGTCTAAGCGTACGGCAAGTTCTTCCGGAGAAAAGTAGAGGTAATGATGTAAGAATACCTTTTTTTTTTTTTTTTTTTTTTTTGTAAAAAACACACCCTGTAGTGCTAGTGATACTGATTCAAACAGATACCACTAGCACCCAGGAGAGGCTCCATCTATTGGTGGGGAGCGTCACCTGCTGGAAAGCGGGTCCAGCGTCCCTTATACAGAATTGAAGTAGAATTGAAATGGGAGGTCACCCAGATAGGGGGTTAAGGAGACTCCTTCCAGCATTGATTAGTCTGGTATCCAGAGGATTTACTAGCAGGGAAAGGATAATGTATCTTCTGGTAAACATTTCCGGGGGGGCACCGGGGAGTAAGCATTGCAGAGACATCTCTTTAGCCCTGATCCGACCGCCAAAAAAAACACCTCTTCCTGATGTGACTGCGCTGCCTACTTTGAGCCTGAGGGATTCCACCCCTGCTCCCTGGCTTCCGGCACTTCCTGTCGTCGTCGTGACGCTCGCAGGGTCTCAGACCTCCCAAAAATGTTGTCGAACCTTTGTGTTACCGGGGGGGCACCCGGAGGGGTTATTTTAAGTATCTCAGCTAAAGAAAGCGGGTGAGGAGGAAAGGGGTCCGGGATATCCCAAAATGAACTTCTTGTAATAAGAAGTCAAACCTAAGAAACTGCAAGGCTGCTTAGTGGATGTGGGGGCAGGGTAATCCGTGATAGCAGTGATATTTGCGTCGTCCATGTAGAGACCTTACGCAGACATATAGTGTCCTAAGAAGTTTACTTTGTGCTGGGCAAAGTTGCGCTTGTTGAGCTTGACGTAAAAGCCATGCTGTCGTAAGCACTGTAGGACATATGAGGGGTGTCTGATATGATTGTCCAAGGTACAACTATATATCAAAATGTCATCCAAGTATACAAGAATGTACTTTCTAAGGATGTCCCTGAAGGTATTGTTCATTGTCGTCTGGAAGGTAGTGAGTGCATTGGCGAGGTTGAATGACATCACTATGAGCCCATAGTGGTTGAAGCGGGACTAGAAGGCAATCTTCGACTGATCCTCTGCGGCAACGCGGATGCGGTGGTAACCACTACAAAGATCTAGCTTCGTAAAGAAGTGGTTTTGTGCTAGACAGACAAACACCTCGCCTGAGCGAGGCATGAGATAACTGTTTTTAACAGTGTAGCAGTTAAGATCGCGATAACCGATGCAAAGTTTGAGAATACCGTCCCCTTTGTGAGCAAAGAGGACGGGTGCACCTTAAGGGGAGGTGCTTTGGACGGTTAATCTACTAGTCAATTTGATTTGTAAGCCTTGTACTTGCTGGGCAGGATCAGTGATCCAGAAACCTTCCCCACTTTTTTGGCCAGGTGACTATATCCCTTGCCACCCTATGGATGCACCCACCCTCCTCCCCGACCTGCTACGTCGACTCTCTTCTCCACCCATTCCTCCTCCCTCCTGTTTTCCGATCTTAGTTTGTTTGTGTGTGTGTGTGTGTGTGTGTGTGTGTGTGTGTGTGTGTGTGTGTGTGTGTGTGTGTGTGTGTGTGTGTGTGTGTGTGTGTG